TGTCATTCTTTTGCTGACAGAGTTGTCTTTAGCCGTCTATTTGGACCGTTTAATCCACAAACGATCAATTGTTGAAGCATTTCTTGGATTTTTTTTTCATATGTTCTGCCAACTAGGAGGGGAGAAGCACCCTTTCGTCAATGTCCTGCTCCACTTCTTTTTTCAAATTCAATCATTTATGTTGTTAATTTATAATCTTACCTCTTATATTTATTTGTTTTTAGTCCAACTATTATGAACTAACAATTTTTAGTTAGAGAGGTGAACTATATTTAATACTACTATATAATGTGTGTGTTACTGTACATATTGAGTTGATAAATTGTGATGTTTTAAATTTTATATTGAGTGGAAATGTAAATGTAAAAATTCATTATTTGATAACCTAATGTTAAATTTTAGGTGTTTATAAACTTAGTTTAAAAAGTTATTAAGATTATTTTAATAAGTTTTTTTAAGAGGATTTTAAGGTATATGTCAAGGGTACATTTATTGTATTATTTCACAATTTATATAAAAAAAATTACGAAAGTAAATTTTATTTTTAACATCAATCCAACATGAAATATTTAATTAGATAATTAATAAAACTATAATCAATTTTTTTTCATCCAAATTAATGATAAAAAGATGCACATATTAAAAAAATTCTTTTTTTAATAGTTTTTTAATAGAAGGTCTTTCTAATATGAACTATTAAATATACTTTTTCATTATGAATTTGTATTGAAAAAACAAAAATTGACTTCTAATTTATCAATTATCCAATTAAAATTATCCACTTGATATTAATTTTAAAATTAATTTTCATTTTTAGATTTTTTCTATATGTATTTATGACAAAAAGGTTAGTTAAGAAAACATTTTAATATTTGCCTTAAGAAAACAATTAAAAGTGTAATTAATGCACTTTTAATTATTAAGTTACATAACAAATTAAATACTATTAATTTTAATTTTAACAAATAATTAATTAAATTAATACATATAACATTAGCATTAAAATTAATATTAGCTTTTTTATTCTTCATATTAAGTGACTGAAAAATGTATTAATTATACTTTAAGGCAAAGTTTGGAAACAAAATATATTACCATAACCACCTAACATCACATATTT